AAAAGTTGACAGTGTTAGACTCCTATATACCTCAGAAAAAATAGAGATACAAATAAAAATTAGATCTATGGGAAGTAAATATCCTCAAATTTGTTCAGTCATAACAAATACTTATTAAGCACTTGCTATGACCCAGGCACTACACTGGGGAACCAATAGGAACAAAATTTTATAACCAGGAGGTCATCAATAACCTTTAGTAGAGTCATGGGTACAAAACCAGACAGCAGTGGGATAGGTAAGAAGTAGCTATTTCAAAAAATTTGACTGGGAAGGGAAGAATTAAATTTTAACAGAGGAATGTGAAACCAAGAGAGAATTCTACTTTTTTTATTGTAGTTGTTTTTCTGGTTTCCTTTATTGTTGCTATCTCTAAGCCTGTGTAAAAGCCAAATGGAAGGGGCCTTTAGCAAGACTGAAGAGCTAACTGAAGTCCTCACAAAGGCAAGAGCAGAAAATATCCAGAGTCCAGGTATAGGGATCGTCGTCGTCTAAAAGTAAATACAATTTCTTTCCCTGTAACTGAAGAAGGGATGTTTTTGACAGAAAGACCATGGGATTCTACTCTGACAGCTCCATTATTATTTTTGAAACAGGTGGCAAGAACATGTGCTAAGAGAGTAGATGATGTAAATGGATAAGAGGTTTGAAAAGTGTAAAAAAAAATCCTAAAATTAAATTCTATGGAGATTGGAAACAGGTGCTGATAAGAACAACTCTAGAAAGATTCCTTGATGCCCACTTGAGACTGGGGACCAAGGATTTATAGGGACACAAATCTAGATACAATGATTTGCCCAACTGGTTCTAACAACCAAGACCCAAACATAACAGAAGATAAAGAGCTGAGATCATGCAGGGCTGAGAACTTGCCAGACAACTGCTATATACAAGGACAATGAAACAACTGAGCATGTGGGCAATGAAAGTGACTGAAGATCACAGAACCTCCTAAAGAGGTAAAGTACAACAGAGATGGGAACATGAAAGATAAAAAGATAACACTATAAGCAAAGAGTGGGAGGTTTGGGCTTTGGATTTCTGAAGGGGACCAATTTCAAGGCTGGTACATTTCAGTGCTGCCCCGCCCCAGCCCCCAGCACCATGTTGGGTCAATAGCCATACCTACCCCCACATCACTAGCTCTCAGTGGGCTCTACTTTCTCCTTCTGTCCCTTCCAATTGTTGGTTTCTCTTTGAGCTTCACTTCTTTTCCTAACCCTTCCCACACCTCTGTGAGTAGTCTCTTTATTAAAGCCTCCTCATTCTGTTTCCTGCTGAGATCTTCATTTACACAGACGTAAATCATGTTACATAGGGCTTTCAATAAAGATTATAATCTTGGCTTTTTGTCTTATTTTACTTTTCAGGAAAATTATAATATAATTAAAGTTAAATTACACACCCTCCAAAATTACAGAATTTTAAAACCAGAAAAAGCCTTTAAAAATTCAACCATGCCAGGTGCGATGGCACATGCCTATAATCCCAGCAGCTCAGGAGGCTGAGACAGGAGGATCATGAATTCAAACCTAGTCTCAGCAACTTAATAAGGCCCTAAGCACTCAGCAAGGTCCTGTTTCTAAATAAAATATAAAAAGAGATGGGGATGTGGCTCAGTGGTTAAACACCCCTGGGTTTAATCCCCCATACCAAAAAAAAAAAAAAGAAAGAAAAAATTCATCCATGCTTACAGCCATACAGCCATGCCAAAGCAAGTACTTCTAGCAGTAGAAAATGGAGAGTCCTTCAACACTGTGCACTTATACCTGAGTGATTACTATATGCCAGGCACCATTGTAGGCACTCTCTTGATCCAGCCTGGATAGCTGACATTCTCATAAATGAAAATCCAGGCTTCCCAAATCCAGATATCCAGTGTCCTTTTCATTATCAGCACCAAAATTTACTATGAGTGGAAAATATTTAAAAGGAATTGCTAAATCCAAAAGCAAAAATAAAGCAAACTGAATGATCCACTCCATTCTTAAATATTACCATCAATATTAAAGAATGTTCAAGAAGCTTTTGAGCTTGCCTAAGGTAATATTCAAGACAAAACCATTGCCTAACAAATCAGTTCCAAACACTTCTGCCTTCACCTTCAAGGCATTCCATAACCCAAAATCCACTCACTCAGCAGCCTCTGGGCCTCTGCTCCTGGTGCAGAACCCAGATATTCACACACCTTGCCCCATCATGGTCTTAGCTCCTCAAAGCTTTCCCAGATCCTTCCCTCCTCTGAGCTCCTGCTGCACTTACACGCAGTTTAGTTCTGTATTGTTATTGAGAAGACAAAAATGCCCATTCTAAATCCAGGCTAATATTTTTATTTACAATGTGTATATCATGCATATGCTGAGACTGGGAGGGACAAAAATAACTGAAACTAATCCCTATCCATCAAGAGTTTAGTCCATCAATAGTTATAGCCCCTAATACAATACAGGAATAAGACAAGTGCTTAGTGGTTATAGGATTAACTGAGTTGGAAATTTTCAAAGCAGAAAGGATTCTTCAAGAGAGAAGATCTATGAGCTAGGGTTGTAGCTCAGTGGCACAGCGCTTGCCCGGCACATGTGAAGCACTGGGTTCAATCCTCAGCACCTCATAAAAATAAATTAATAAAATGAAGATATTTTAAAATTTTTTTAAAATCCAGTTTTATATAGTCTCTGAATACACACACACACACACACACACACACACACAAAGGAATCCAAGGCCCAAAGAGACTAAGGAACTCAGCTAGTGCCAACCAGGCCAGTTGTAGCCCAAGATCTAGTGATGGCTGCTTTAACTCCTAAACCAAACTACCTTTGACTCTGTAATTTTCAAACTGAGATCCTCAAATGCCTATGGGTGTGTACACAGCTTCAAGATTCATAATTTCTCTACAATTCATTCATATTTGTATATTTGCTTCAATAATTATTCTTTTAACATAAACCTACTCTAAAGCATTTCAGGAGCAGGCCAGGGGGTCCAAGAACACATTTCCCAGGGTCTAAGATCATTCAACATTTTAACGTACTGCTTGGCAGAATGATCAATGTTATTTCCCATTCCAGTCAATTTCAAAATCTCCCCTACTCAATACCAGTCTAAAACTCACCCATTCAATAAACATTTAAGAACAGTGGTTCCAGCAGCTCAGAAGCTGAGGCAGGAGGACTGCAAATTTAAAGTCATCCTCAGCAATTTAGTGAGGCCCAAAGCAAATTTGTGAAACCTGTGTCAAAATAAAAAGGGCTAGGATTGTCACTCAGTGGTTAAGCACCTGGTATCCAAAACAAACAAAAAAACCTACTATGTGACAGGTGACATACTAGTAACCCTGGCCAGATTAAGATAAGTAAACTAAAGCCTGGCATGGTGCCAACCTGTACTCCCAACAATCAGGAAGCTGAGGCAGGAGAATCACTTGAGCCCCAGATTCCAGACAAGTGTGAGCAACACAGTGAGACCCTGTCTCAAAAGGAAAAGAGATGTATAAGAAGAACAAGTGAAAAAGTAATCGAGAGAGAACTTTTTAATTAGTACTTCCTATATACCCTGACTGTACTGCTACCTGACACTTAGAAATTGTTCCAAGTCCTTTACTAGAAGACTTCCTGTGTATGAGTATCAATTTCATTTTCTGTTAACAGAAATCTTAAGATTTGCAAATAATGAGCTCCCGAATATTTGTGGAATGAAAAGAAACTGAAGAGGTTAATAATCATCTTTTAGAAAGGTAATAGTTCAAAATGATACCTAGTACTAGGAACTAAAATTTTGCCAAAAAATAACTTTCTGAAACTTCCAAGAGTTGTTCCTTGTTATACTGGAGGATCCTCTGCTTCCCTGCATAAAATTAATGCTTCTACTTAAACAGAAAAGAACATGTAGAGCTAGGGTTGTGGCTCAGTGGCAGAGTGCTTGCCTAGCATGTGTGAGACACTGGGTTCAATTCTCAGCACCACATATAATAAAGGCCTATCAACAACTAATAAAATATTTTAAAAAAAGAAAAGAACATGTAAATACTAAGCATACATCATGATCTTCTCTATCTCAACCCGTGATTCACCAACTTTTCACACACAAATCATCCTTGGGAAGACTTTGGCTTTCAATTCCTTTCTCATTAAAGGAGTCTGTTACACATAGACTAGACCAGCACACACCAACATTTATAAACAAAATATTATTAAGCATTAGGAGATGGATCCACATACTCTCTACTCTAGCTTTTCACTATAGGATACCCAAATGTTTTAATTAAGGTGTGGATGACTTTGCTTTTGAATGTGAACAGACTAACAGTTTCATAAATATATCAAACTTGAACAAAATTTCTCATACATCTTTAGCAAATTAAAAATAACAATTTAAAAACAAATTCTCTCAAGAACAGTTTCTTGGAATTAAAGAAGTGCCTATTTACAAAATCTTGAGATACTAGGTCACACATATCATCAGGCTTCCAGGAGGCTGTGCGTCTCAACAACAGTTATATCACTGGAGAAACTATATATGAACTCAGGCTCGTTGTTTAACCAGAGTCGCCATTTTCCTATCTGTAAAATGGGATAAGCTAATATCACCTACCCAATCCTTGTAAGGATCAAATAGGTGCAAACGCCAAGATAGTTGCAGGCACCTAGTAAGCGTCCTAGAGCCCTAAGTGGATGCATACTTAAGCAAACAGATAAAATGTGCCTCGCGTTCACTTTTCACCAGTAAACTCAGACCTGCCAGTGACAACCACACAGAGGCACAATGGGGCAGGTGGGCCCGAGGCACCCAGGCCGGTAGGGGTCATTGCTGTAGAGCCCAGGCGTCAGGTGGCGCGGAGCCTGGCTGCAGGTGCCCTCCGCGGGTGGGCCGGGGCCGCGCGGCCCCCAGCCCTTCGCAGCCAAGGCTCGGGCGGACGCAGGCCGGCCGCGAATTCCACTCGGCCTCACAGTGCGATCCGCGGTGCGCCCTCCGCCAGGATCTCTTAGGCCCACACATACCTCCCGTCGGTCTGTGGCCGCCGACTACAGCCTCAAAGACAGGGGTCCGAGCAGTTCTCGCCAGTAGCTCCGGGCCGCTGCCGCCCAACCGCCGGCGCCACACTTCCGCCCGCCGCGAGCGCCGAGCACATCGATCCGCCCAGTAGTCGAGCGCCGAGTCTTCGATAGGCTGATCCTGTCGGGGAGAGGAAGGGCTGGGTTGCTGCAGAAGGTGGACACCGTGAGAGCTGAAAGCTAGTGTGCCTTGCTTTCCAAGGGACCCAGCTACCGGCTTGCACGCGAACTGGCATTTTGTCTGCACAGGAGCGTGCCTCGCGTAACCTCAAAGAGTGTGCCATGTGTACCTTTCATTTCCTTGCCCCATGGTATTTTCAAAGAGGCCGTGGGATGACAGACCGTTTATGGATCCGCAGTTCATAAGGATGGGCCTGCACCCAGTAATAGCACCAGGTCAGGGGGCAGCACAGGGTCGAAAAGCTGCACTGAGTTAAAGCACTGCAAGAGTCAAGGGGTACATAAGGGACTACACCGGATCAGGACAGGTACATTAAGGGACTACATACACCACATTAGGACAATGCACCAGGTCAAAGAACTGCTGCAGGTCCATATGGCCCACCAAGTCAGGAGGATCAACCCCATAGGGTCCCTTGAGAATTCAGTGGCTCCTGTTAAAGCCTTAAAAGACAAGATGACAGAGAGATATCAAGATACCATGGAAATTACAGAGGTGACTGGAATACGAATATTGAGTGAACACTTGGACCTGGTGCTGTGCAGGCATAAAGCTAGCGCAATCTCTTCCCGCTTTGTTCCCTGGCTAAGGATAATCATGGAGTGGTGAGAGGAAAAGTAGCATCGTTTGGGAGTGACTGCAGCAATCTCGGCAAGAAAGGACAGTGGTCAGCTCTAGGGGATAATGAGTCAGGTAGAGCACAGTGATCAAGCTGGGAATTTGTTGACTGTAGAATTGACATGATTTGCAAGGGCCGTGAGAGAGAAATAACTGGAAGATACTAAATTGTGTACGTGAGGAGTGGTGGTTCCACTAACTAAAACAGGAAAGACCAAGGGAGAAGGGGATGCAGCTGTCATACTCAGACAAAGGCAAGTTAACCAGACCACACACGGCAGAGGTCTGGGTCATTTCATGGAGTAAGCAACCTGGACCTCAGAAATGCTAGTTGCAGATGAGAAGAATCTAGATGGGTAATCAAGGAGAAATAGTAAAAATATCTGGGCCATCAGGACCAACTGCAGCAGTGGACCCTAAGGTCAAACCTGTTAAGGTCTTTTTCACCCCCAATAAAGTGTGATTATATACCACCATGAGAAATCAGAAACAGGACACAGCACACTGGTAGACAGTAGTAGAGAAAAGTGAAAAAGTAAACGAGAGAGAACTTTTTAATTAGTACTTCCTATATACCCTGACTGTACAGCTACCTGACACTTAGAAACTGCCCCATCCATATACCCTCAACTGAAGTGACTTTCTGGGAACACCTGCACCTTTCTTTGTGCCTAAGAGCTTTCTCTCTGGAACAGAGAAGCTGGGAGCACTGGAGGATTCATTCACCCAGAAGCAAGCCTCAACCAACAGCTGCTGGGAGCTGGTGTGTAAACACACCAGCAGGCTCGCTCTTGGTGTGTAGCTTAGAGGCATATAGTCCATTGCATCGCACACTTCCCAAGAAGGCTGTGCTCCAGTTGCCCTCAGTGAAGGAAGCACCTCCTAGCACACCTTGACTAGCTTCCCCACTCCCAGCTTGCTGTCTCCCATGTCACTACCCACATCAAATACTAGCCCTGGAAACCTTATCTCTTGTTCAGCTCCTGACAGAACCAACCAAGATTGCTATTGTCATAAACCAAAAACAACCTATGTTTCCTACTTTTCAAATATCATTGTATGCTGAATTGTACACTTATTCTGGAAATACATCTAGGGATAGAAAGATGATAATATGTACCGACTCCTTGAGTCATAGGATTTAGCATGACTTCATTTTTGTCTCTTTTTTGTCAGAGGATGTGTCAAAGTGTTCTTCTAGTATGCAATAACCTGACTGTCCCCAGGATTATTCATTTTAAAGAGCAAGGGGAAGACTCTTTAAGTGTGAATCAGAAACTTGGCAGCAGAGGTCCAAAGAAAATGAGAGAAGTGAGAAGTCTCTGGCAGCATTATTCCTCCTGCACAATGAAACCAAATCCTCTGGGTCTCAGTGACATACCATTTCTCAGGTTAGGCAATCCTGCCATTAAGTCAGTATGTATAGGTCTTGAGAATTCACAGATCCTGGATGATGATGATGATGATGATGATGATGATAATAATAATAATAATAATAATAATAATAATAATAATAATAAATTCCTGGGAAAAAAAACACTCAAAAAAGGAAAGAGACTCTTTTGTTAATATTAGTGCTGTTTTCTTTCTTTTTTCTTAGGTTTCTGATCCTAATTGTTAAGCCAACCAGCAAACATGAGCACAGTATATGCAGAAGTTGTCAGAAAATAAAATCATTAAAACTAAAATTGCAATAGTAGCTGTTGGGGCAATTAACTATGATTGGATAGCTTTGTGTTTTCAATTCTGTGTCAGATTTCATTGGACCTAGAGAGAAAGAATAACTTTGAAGCATGAAATCCCTTTGGAAACAGTCTTAGGAAACACCATGAAAAACACAATGCTCTGCTCTTTAGATACTTTATTTATGTATTCAATTTACATGAAATCAACACCCTAAGTGTTCTGTACTGCATGGCATATCAGTTTGAAATGGACCATAATAAGAATACAACCTAATCCTGTAATTATAACTGCAGTTTGCCATATCTGAATGATCCTTTTTACCAAAAATTGAAACTTGGTGATCTGTTAACCCATAAATTCTATGATCCTTGCTGGCAGATTACTGCCTTATTCATTGTTGTAGATACTACAGAGACTTAACTATTATGAGATAGACCAGGCTGACCGTCCCATTCATTGAGTGCTGAATTGTACACTTATTCTCTTGGGGATTATCTTGTCCGTGCCAGCCCTACGTTAGTCATATTTGTAAATTGATTATTATCTCTTCATTTGGCTCATCCCACTAAAGTATACATTTAAGGAAAGGGACTTTACATTGTTCACTAATGCCTCACACATAATATGTACTCAATAAATGTGTGTTGAATGAAAAATTAAAATTAAAGTCAGGCTACATTTTGATATTAGCAAACTTAGAGAACAGTCCTCTTTCTAATTGTCTATCTCAAAATATGCTGAATGGCTACTTAAAGGCACAAAAAAGTAAGCAACACTACATATATAAATCTTGATAATATATAGATGCCTGAGATATTTCACCAGCTTTGTCATTCTTTGTGTTTTAAAATTACAAGGATTATTTGAAATCCTACGAGACAATTACAAACTCTGATTTAGCAATCCCTGGATTGTCCTTTTTAGTTAAGGAAGCTGCTTGTCTGGTTCTGTTTTTACCTTTGTCTTAGCTATTGTGTGCTCCTAGTTTATGTGGACTTAGCCATCTACATTTCTTGTTGGCTTCAGAGCTCTGTATCCGAAGAGTCCTCAACATCAAACAACAAAATACAGCTCTGTGGTTTTTCATGTTTACTTGCAATTTGCATATTTTAATTTAAACAAAAAATGTGAATAAAGCTGGCTCCAAGAAGGGGTATGGTGTTACAATAGTGTTACTCCCACCATATGGCCATTGCTGCCACCCAGTGCAATAATGCAGATGTGTTTAACACCTGTGTTTATATCTGGGAGTCTCTGGAAGTAGGTTATATCCATAGGTGGTCCAGAAGGGAAAGAAGAAATTGAGGAAAGACACTCACTGCCAGAGAGATATGAAGCCACATAACCTAGAGAAAAGAAACCAGGTTGGTATCTGAAAATAGTTCATTTGAGCAACCTACAAGGGGATTCTCTTGTCCCTGCCAGCCCTACTTTACATAGATACAAATGATGCAGAAGATACAAAATATCCTAATTCTGTGTTTTTCTGTGAATAGGAATTAAGACCTCTTCATGTTCTAAATGAAGAATTTCTAACTGTACATAAGATATAATCTTATTTTAAATTGTTTTTGTTTTATCTTTTGGAAATCTTCCACTTGAAATTCCTCTATAGCTTGTTCAATGGTAACAAGACCAATTGGCATTTTGTTAGTAATGTCAGCAATAATAGAAAATGACTTCATATTCTCAGTTTATTTCATGGATGTGGTGGCGCCCATAAAGACAAGCCTAGGGCAGAGTCTGCTGGCTTCCTCTTGGCAGCTCAGTGGCTAAGGCCTATCATCCCATTGGGAGCAGAAGTATCAGCTACAGTTTCACAGTGGCAGGGAACATTGTGTACAAGCTTTGATTGGTGCCAACACTCCTTAAACAAGGCTTTGCATGGTCCTAGAGTGTTACTTTGTATACTATTTGCCCTCTGTCTTCAGATCTCATTTGTTTTAAATTCTAATATGACACAAATTTTATCTGAGTCCTTTCAAAGGATTTTAAATTACTTGACGACAGGTCTCTCACCCTTTGTGTTCAGTAGGGTTCCCCCAAATTAGCTTGGAGGTGTTCCCCTCTCAGGGACTGACATAGTTTCCAAAAGTTTTTAAAAGTGATGACAGGTGTCACTGTGTAGGACACTGGCACCACTTGTGCACCACAGTTGTGTCCTGGCTGGCCACTTAGGATGTCTAGGTCCTTAAGTACTTGTCCTGCAGGAAGTTGCCTCTTGTCAGTTCATCTTTATATTTTCCCTGGTACTAAAGGATAAGGAGCACATGCAAAATTAAAAGCCAAAGATAATTTCCACATCATACTTTAGCCAGGGGTCTGAATCTTTGTTCTCCTTGACTGAATCCTTGTAACAGAGATACATGACCAATTGGTTTGAATAGTAATTTATTTCTTCACCCCTAGTGAAAAACTACTAAAAATGTTTAACAGTGACATGCCAAAAATAAAGACATGAAAAGATTCTTATCCCCTGAAAAATAAAGAGTTGATTATAGACTATCAGTAAAAAGAAAAATTACTTTGGAAATCTGAAGCCTGCACTCTG